TTCGATTTGATTTGATTTTAGTCTTTGTTTCATGTTTTACATGAGATAGTAAAGTGTCGCCTCTTAGTGTACCTTGGGATAGTGAAGTGTCGCCTCTTAGTGCAGCTTGGGATAGTTAAGTGTCAGCTCTCATTGTAGCTTGGGATAGTTAAGTGTCGCCTATCAGTGTAGCATGGGATAGCTATGTCGCCTATCAGTGTAGCTTGTGATAGCTAAGTGTCGCCTCTCAGTGTAGCTTAGGGTTGCTGAGGATGACCTCTCATTATAGTCTGGGTAGTTAAGTGTAGGTTGGAATAGTTAAAAGTCGCCTTCTAGGGTAACTTTCGCCGCCGCTTAAAGTATAGGTTATTTGGTTGAGGCTTCTTGCTATCTGTGAGCATTAACATACCTGTTTACAGTCATTGAAAGCAAGTGCGAACCATCCCATTGTGGTGAAATGTCAGCAGAAGTGTCCAACACATATGTACGTCGATATCTCCAGTCTTCGGATAAACCCCGGAATCTCCGTTGGCGTCCTAGCGGTGGCATTCGTGCCGTTCGCCAGCTGACGCCGCATTCTCTTCTTCTTCCAGCACTGATTCCCCACGTGGGGAGCGCCACGGTGAAGTCGCGCACGGATATGGCAACACTGACGTCACGCAACATTCTGGCAGCACTCGACGGCAGCGCGATGCCGGCTCAGCTTTGTTAGCGCGCCAGCACTCCGTGGATATCGCCACTCCGGAGTCCATAACTAAATCCCATGAGTCGCGGTCATAGGGCTCATTGCTGCTCCTCAGTGCATGCCACTGATCCCAATGCTCCTCCTTAGTGTTGTAGTAACCCCAGTCCACAGCGGTTCCCAGTAACCTCAGTTGTTCCTAATGGTCTTCAGTGGTAACCAATGGCTCTGTTCGGTCCGGTTAGCTGGATCCATTGGTCCTCAGTGGTCCTAAGTGGTCCTCGGTGGTCCCAAGTGTTCTTCGGTGGTCCCAAGTGTCCTCACTTGGTCTCAGCGGTCCCAAGTGGTCATCGGTGGTCCCAAGTGTTCTTCAGTGGTCCCAAGTGTCCTCACTTGGTCTCAGTGGTCCCAAGTGATCCTCGGTTGTCTCAAGTGGTCCCCACCGATCGGCAGCGGTCGTCAGTGGCCCTTGAATGGTCGGCAGGTCAGACGGCGCCTTCAGAAGTAAACCCTCAGGATGTGCAGCTGGTACAGTGGTGGATTGAGCGGCCAAATGAATACCTCACAGGGTGTGTTGTTACGCTGAATCTTGCTGATCCAACGACATCTGTCGAACATTCACTTGCGATTGAGGATGGCTAGCGGCACGTGGACTAATCCCACCGCAATGTTCGCTTGTATCTGGTGGTCTTGCAAATAAATGAATTGCGCTCGGCCTTGCTCCCAGTTTTAAGTGACTTATGACGTGATTTTACGTTATTTATTTCACGTTGTTGCGTGATTTTACTCGCAGTCTTACGTCACGCATGCGTCATGATTTGGGGTGTTGTCATTCAATAGCACTGTTTTTTTTTCTGCGCAGCACATCCGCTCGGCTAGAGATGGGCGTTGGGGGATGATTAAACGAAAATCATGTTGATGGTTACGAGACGGTACACATCACTGTGAGATGTTTTGTCTTCGTAACAGAAAGCAAGGGCAACTGTCGACTTCGTCGAGATGTCTTATGAGGTATGTACAGTTACGAATAAGTGGACAAGAAGCTGCACGCGTGTGCATTTAGATGATACGCTATCACAAAAGCGAGGCAACCGTATGATGTTCTACATGGAGCGAAATCACAATGAGGCATTGCCTGTCGTAAGCATCCTACCAACGCAACACGCATAGTCGCGTTGGACAGGGTTGTCGTCATTGCGTGTGTAAGATGCGCTAAAACTATTTTGCATATGAAGCGCGTACATAGTTCTTTGTAAAGCATGTATGCTCCTGACAAAAAAAACACTAGGGATGCTCAGTAATCTTCAGTCTGGTGAAGCCGAACCTGCGATTAACTACCACATCCAGAGCATGCGCCGGAGTTTTTTCCTTGTCTTTCGTCTCGGGTCCATGCCATCGACCAGTGCCGCGTGTTTCTGCTTTCTGGTTGACTGACGGCTGCCGCTCAAACAGCGGCGTGTGTCTGCCGTGGTTACTGTGGTGGTTTCTTTGGTTACCCATGACTGACGGCGCTTTGTGTAGTGTCAGAAGTCGGGACACCCGAAAGACCTTATCTCGCACCTGGCGTATATTCCGCCAAAGGCAGTAGGCTCAGCAGTACTCACATTTAACACTTCACACCGCAATTCTGCGCACTGATGTGAACCAGCACATGGAAAGGCACCAGGCCCTCACAAAACGCACAACTCCGGGACCCTCGTCCCTCACCTAGCTATAAGCATTTCTTAGTCTACTCAGCTTCGAGACCTAGTCTGCCAGTGTCCAGCACGTCAGCCTCTTCTGGCCTAAGGGAAGCTTAAGCTAGCTTACTGTTAACTAAACTAAAATGCCTCGCACCTTGCATGAAGCCCTCCAACTCGCACAGCGTCTGCACTTGCCAACCTGCGACCGCTTCACACTCTGCTGCCCCCCACGCCTGTGCCTACCGGCGGTATCTGCTGATATACGCTGAGAATTTTCTGGCCGCACTGGCCACGGCACAGATGCCTACTCCAGCTGTGTTCACAAAACGCCGCAAAGCCTAGGAGTGAAATGCTGGGGAGCAGAGCTCCCAAGCGCAGGCGCAAGAACGAAACTAACAGGCGCAGGGGCGGAGTTCACAGGCGTGGCGGACGAGTTGCCAGGCGCAGACGCACTTCGGTCTCTGCCCTGCACAAGCGGGCGCGCGGGGCGCACCTCTCTAAGATCACATGCTGGGACGGGCGCTGACTAGGACGAAGCTCCATCGAATGCTCAATCTTTGGCTCGGAGATCAGGGAAAGTCGGGACAGCGCCCGAGGCATGACGTGACACGTGACGACCAGAGGCGCACTCAGAGGGTAGACGGGGAAGACACTTGCGCAATAGAGGAGTGGAGGAGAACCGTGCATGCTTGTGGAACATGTAGGAAATGTAGCTTGGGTGTCAGCCGTTTACAATTGCAGTGTTAAGCAACAAATAGAATTACCCCACCCATTGATGGGATCTGGGTGCGCCACTAGCCACGGCATGCATCACGTCATGTCATGACGTCGCTCCATCGAAGGAGCAGTATCACATCGCAGATTCCACTACACCTAATCATGATCGGACGCATACGTGCATGCCGTTCTGTACCCGATCAATAACAATGACCTTGTCTAAATGGAACGCGGCGAAATGTGGGCAGTAGTGTGCCAATGGCGCGACACCATTGGGGGGGGGGGGGGGGGTCGAACATTCTGACGACAAGCTCACCACAATAAATACCGCGTCAACCTATTGGCTAGGAACATCACGTGGTCATTCTCACACGGCTCTCGCTGCTCTCCAAGCATCCTTTCAAGCTTCCGTTGACACTTACTTCGCTCTCTCGCCTCGGGTATTTACTCCGGAGACGGGAGTTCAGATTTGAACAGCAGGTGCATGCTACGAGGGTCTCGCGCTTTTTCTGTGTTCGTAGCCACTCGGGTGCGGTGCGGTCAACGATGAACTTTTTCCTGACAATGATACTGGCTGAGAGACAATGAATCGAGCCCTGTAGCGAGGACGTCGAAGTGAATGAATGCTGATTAGATGCACGTGTTGTGACGTCAGGTGACGATTACATGACGCAGCACGATTCTCGTGGAGGAGGGGTGTCCTTGCGGGTCGAGTTGACAAGCCTCTTCGGTCGGGCCTCGAAGGATCGTGAGATGTTTCCTGCATCGGCCACTTGCGACGTCTAAACAAGATGGCGGGCGTTGCGTCGTTGCGACAGGCAGCGGAAGATGACGTCACGTCTACCGCATGTTGCTGTTGATCCAGTCGATATACTGAGAGACACGGGTGTAGACGCCGGGTTTGTTGGCTTCCGCGCAGGAATCGCCCCACGAAACCACGCCCACTAGCTGGAACCGACCTGCAACAACCAATCAGACGTCAGGTAACTGCGGAGACCAATCGATCTGAACGTATCACTTTCTTTCGCTCTCGCTAACACACAGGTGCAAGCAGAGGAAGTACATGTTGCGGAGCAAAATGGTCGAGCAGATTACGCATCAGACACCATTGAACAGTGGCATTTAAACATGCAGACGCCATAGCCGCCCAATACATTTAGACATCCGGACAGCTGTAAATTCGGGTGAAATCGATCCCAGAGCACGCAACGTCGGCTCAAAAGCTCTCTTGACTTGACCATCTCTTTGCTTTAACCAGATTGATGGCACGATTACCAACTGCTTCTCAAATTTCACGCACACCATGGCCTTACCGCAGCAGCAGAGTCTCGTTTTCGGGGGGGGGGGGGACTCACCATTTATCTTGCAGGCCAGCGGTCCTCCACTGTCCCCCTTGCACGCATCCACACCGCCACGCAGGTACCCGGCGCACATCATGCCTGAGAACGCAGGACATGGGGTTAGACATGACACAGGGGCTTAGGGAAAGGGGCTCGGGGGGGCTTCACAGGGGCTTCTGCTGCGCCAACCACAGCGTTCGTCAGCGCTGTATGCAACCCTAGTTTCGCCTTGCCCCTGCTGATATGCAACCCCAGTTTCGTCTCGTCCCTGCTGAGTACACTCTCATAGCACCACTTAGCCACGCGCTCCGTCCAGTCCTGGTGGCGGAAAAGCGCTATCGGCACAGCAGAGGACGGGAGTGTCGTTTGGGGAACTGGTTACGAATCCTGGCTGCGGCTGCGGCCGCAGGGCGCTAAAATGAGCGCCCCAGGTCCAGATCCAGTGCCCCAGATCCAGATCCAACGCTCTATATCCGTGTATTGCTATGCACTCCGTGTACGGCTATATTTCTTTATATTTCGGCTATATTTCTCAATATTTCTTTTCAGTTGACGCCCGGCGTTAAATATTCGGAGTCATTACTAAATGGTCAGGAAGTTGTGGATGGGTGGAGGGGGGAGGGGGCTATTTCTCTCGTGCCCTTGACACTACTGCCCACAACACCACGCAACGGTGCACCCAGCGCCCCTGCCACCCGACACGAGGTGGAACCCCGGCTCACCTTCCGAGTAAAAGTGTTTCTTGTTGCCGTACACCGAGGCTGAGGAGCAGTCCTTCTCGGCGATGATGCTCACCATGGCCGCCCGCAGCGAGGTGGACAGACTGGCGTCATCGTTGGCTGTAACGGCGCAGAGTCGGGGTCAGTGGAATCGAGAGTCAGGATCAGAGTCGGGATCAGGGTCGGTCGGCTGGGCTTGAGGGAGCTGATGAGGTCAGTGGGGCAGTTACTGGGCTATCGTTGCGCAAGACATCTGACCCAGTCGGTGGTGTTTGATCTTGTTCTTGGCTAGACAAGATTGGGGAGCTCTCAGTGAGTGAATAGCTTTAACCAGCATCGGATCGCGGTGCGCTTTTGTTGTTGCCCTCCATAACCAGTAACACCGTCATCTTCCATCACCTCGGTCTCAGCATTGTACCGGGATCAGCCAACGACTTCCTCAAATATGGCGCTTGGAGAAACCTACAGCGCATGCACAGACGAACAGCGCATGCGCAGCCCGATTTAAACTGACGGTACCGCAGCAAAAAGTGGGTCTTTACCCACCGGCTCCCATCTATCTGATGAACACTCAACCACTGTGCTGTGAACCCCATGTATTTTTTCCACCCGTGCTTAGGGCTGCACCCCGCCGTGAGATACACCCACTACAAGTGATACACCCACTCCTCCCACTGAGGCACATCCACTGCACCCACTGCATCCCCGCTTCCAGCAAGGTGTGCCGGCGTGAACAACCCAAGCCGTTCCATTTGCCGACAAGTGAGCCACGAACTCTGGCAACTTAGGCTGAATTTGAATAGAATTAATACGTTTATTTTAATTTCTAATTGAAATCACAGGGATATTTTACTGTGAATTCAGTGGACAAATTTATTTGAATTTGAATGATGATGGCTTGTTTGAATTGTCAGTTGAATTGACATATTTAGCTATCGAGTTGATTGAAGATGCTGAATTGCAGTTGAACTACCTATGGAACTTACGGTTCATGAGGCCCCAGCCAGTGACGACACATTCCGTTCCGGGACGGGGCACGGTGATCTCCGGCAGGCAGACGGGCCGGGTCTTTTCGTTGTAGGTGGTCTGTTTGCGTAGTTTCGGATCCAGCTTCAGAAGCGCAATGTCGTGCTTCTTCGTCTCTGAAGAGATCGCAGGGAGGTCACAGGAGGTAAGACGGAGGCCACGTGGAAGTCACGCAGAGTCGGTGTCGGCCTTGCAAGGATTCGCGAGAGTTAAACAAGCTTAAACGAAAATTTAAGACTGAACGTTTGTCGTCGTCGTCATGTCGTCGAACAAACGGGAACTTAGGATTTTTCATAATTCCATAACCCATGCACAAACATATATGGTCATTATGAAAAACTGGCGCTCCCAGCTTTTAATGTTTTACCATCATGACCAGCACAAATATTGCAGTATGCCGGAGTTTATAAACCAAATATGACAAGCGTAGGCTCATTACAGAGTCATGATACCGGCCTTTTGCTGAAGTTCATGTTGACATGAATGGAGGGGGTACGGAGAGGTTACGCCTTCCTGAGTCAGGTTATTGAAGAAAAATATATGATGTACGATACGGTATATGTTTTTGGAATATGATATATGTAACAAGATGATATGTGCCGGCCGTTTCGATGAGCATAAGCGTGGAGAAAAGTAAACGAACGCGGATGATTCGTTACCTCTGTTGTACCCAGGATGTACGATGATCTTGTCGACAAAGAACGTGGTCTCCATGGGATCCAGGTCGTCCAGGTCATGGTCGCCGAGGATGACCATGTACTCGTCAATGCTGCAACGCCGGAAACAGTGTTAGTGGAGTGAAGCAATGCTTGAGTGAATGCTGTTAGCGCGTGCGCATCACTATCTGCGCGCCCTCTGGAAAAGTGGTAGAAACGTGTTTTAGCTGGAGATGGGCTCACCACACGAAGACGCGCCGTAAGAAGCATGGTTAGAACGAGATGCTGGTTCGTAAGACATGCAGCTAGACGGAAAGAAAAGCTAAACTTCGCGATGGTGGACATGTTCGCCATGAGCTGTGATGACAAGATGTTTTGAAAATCGGAATGCACTCAAGTGCGGCGTTCTTTCTGGCTACAGAAAACAGAATGAACGGCGTGTTCCAATGTTTGCAGGATGCCCCTGCATTTGAAAAACATGTCCCTGCTCGCACAGTCCGCTTACTTGTGAGAGACGACGCAGTGGGCTGCGGTGAGAATGTACTGTGGTGAGATGACTGCGCCGCCGCAGTGATGAGTTCGGTAGCCATTCTGCAGAACTTTGATTTCCGCCTGCCGAAACGAACACGTCAGCAACACTGACCAGACGCTAGCTTCGCATGAAACACCGGGAAGGGGGGGGGGGGGGGCATGGACAGTTAAGGAAACGCAGCAAAGAACGCGCAGACAGCACCACAACCTGCCCAAAAGGTGAAGCCGCCACAAATGGCCATCACCCCGGCGAAGCCGCGAGCAAATGAAGCATACACCTTCAGAACACCGTCGGTGGCGTCATTGATTATCGGTCACCGAACGGGAAGATCCGGCAACTTGTTAAGGGGCAGCACCGCTTACCCGAGGCGTCGCCTATTTAAGAGATGAAAATATGCAAGAGTATCTGCAATTTTTGACGCGTCTGTGACCTTTAAATGCCCCGGCATTGGCCTCACCTGCCATGGGAAGGCACCGTACGGCACTTCGCTTCCGCCTACAATACGCGTCGTCGCCACCAGCTTCTTGGGCGGCATGTAGAAGACCGGCTGACCGCCACAGGCCAGCGAGCGCGTGGAGGGCACGCCGCTGTGAGAGCCGCCAGTTCGAGCAGGGAACTTCATATGACCCGCCTGGCGACGCCTCCTGCAACGCAGAGGGCAGAGGTCAGTACGGAAGGCGCGGCGGTCAGATGAAGGGCACGCAGAGGTCATCAGGGGAGACGCGACGTGGAGGTGTGCTTGAAAAGCATTGTCCACAGTTTTCGTGTCTATTATAGTTAGAGAACGATGTGAAGGCAAAGTAACCAGCCAACGTCGCGTGGTTGCTGACATTGTCAGCCATTGGTACAAAGAGAATTACACCGGCTGATTTCAAAGGTGGAACAATGTGAAAAGGTCATCTTGGTCCAAATACGATTGCGAAATCTAGTTCACCCAGGGAACACGCTACCCTCAGCTGATTAGGGGCAAGAACTGACATTAGAAAAAGCAATTCTTTCGCGCTTGACATTACGCTTGAGTGGACACCGCATCAGCCGGGCCGGTGAACCCTGCAGTCATTGAGCTTCCCGAAAGGTGTACCACCCCTGCAAGTAGCCGATGGCGACCAGCTGATCCATACCAGGCAGCCGATGCTGTCGACCGGCTAATTAAAAAGGACATCCATCGCGACGCGCGTCCATCGTGCTCGCGACCCGAGGAAAAGCAAGATACGAATCGCAAGTACGTCGTGTGACGGGTGCTAGACGGGTCTTATAACGCAAGCGCGCCGTCTGCGCACGGCGGGGTATCGAACGCAAAGCGAGAGTGTCAAAAGCGGTGATGGGCCGGTGTGGGGATGGGTCGCTTTCAGTCGTATGCTTCCGTGTTTTGACCGTGGGCGTCAATGGATGGAGATAGAGAGAGAGAGAGGGAGAGAGAGAGAGAGAGAGAGAGAGAGAGAGAGAGAGAGAGAGAGAGAGAGAGAGAGAGAGAGAGAGAGAGAGAGAGAGAGAGAGAGAGAGAGAGAGAGAGAGAGAGAGAGAGAGAGAGAGAAAGAGAGAGAGAGAGAGAGAGAGAGAGAGAGAGAGAGAGAGAGAGAGAGAGAGAGAGAGAGAGAGAGAGAGAGAGAGAGAGAGAGAGAGAGAGAGAGAGAGAGAGAGAGAGAGAGAGAGAGAGAGAGAGAGAGCGTCAAGCAGCCAGGCGTTCGACTTGGTTCAAATGATGTGAAAAGAAAACTCACAGCAAATCTGTCATAACTGAAGCAGGCTATAAGTGCGTTCAGAATCAATTATTTGAAAATAATTGTTTGACTTCTGGGTGCATTGCCTGCTTGAGCAAAACTCCTCCACTTCTTTAACAGAAGCAGCTAACATGAAGGGGATGATTTGTGCTCTGAGTTTAACGCCGACATTCGTCCCAATTATTCTGTTGGTTCTGCTGGTGGCTCTCGCGGTGGACTGACCTGAGAGGTCAGAGGGCACTGACCTGAGGGGAGACTTCGCTGCCTCATTCGACACCGCTGCGCTCGGACTCGGAAGGTCAAACAGGTAGCGCGCTCCCCGCGTGCTGGCCGAGTCTGAAAACAAGGTCCAAAGCCGTCAAGACAAGGCGAGGCAGAATTTGAGGACCGGAGGGGGGGGGGAACATTAATTAGGCACTCGAATAAGCGAATGGGTGCTCGGACCCTGATGTCAAGGCTACGAAGCCCCTCCTTTCGAAGTAGGCACGGGAATTGCAGCAGGAGACAGGCATTGACAACAGCCCAGCGGGGTAACCGAAAGACCAGCAACACCCAAAAAGAAAGGCAGCAGTTTGAATGGAGAAAAACCATCCTATACCAGTGTGAGGTTACTACGACTGAACATTGCATGGTGCCCCCACGGGCTGTTCGCTCATTGCTGTGTAGAATCGAGATAAATGATCGAGACAACATGCGACGATAAATTAAGAAGTCAACAAGGATGGAAGAAAGGATGGTAAGCTTAGCTTAACGCCTCAAGTTTCGAAAAAGCGAAGTCGAAGCGTTGAGAACAAGCCGCAAATTGTGATTTATCTGAGCATGGCCGTCATTGGCAGCATGTGAAGACCACGCGAGGCCTGATATAACAACATCTAGCAGGGCGTGTGTCAGCAGAATGCGCTCGAGAAATAACCCTTCGCGTAGTAATGCGAACAATTAATAGCAGCTGTCATTCTCGCACCCAGCTATGCGACGTACTACGCACGTCCGCTATTCCGTCACCAAACAGGAATTATACCGGATCGGAACTGGACTTTCGACACCGCCCTGTACCTGGTAAAGTGCTGAGGCCTTAACTGACCGGGCGAGAGTGCGATTTTCATCAGCGAAGCCGCGCCCCCCGCGCCGCAAAGCGTGATTGGCTGGCACGGAGGCCCGCCAGCCTGCTGGATTAACGGATGACTCCGGTCGCACTTTTTGGGTCAGGGAGAGGGTCGGGCCGAAGTATTTGGGTGAGCGCTGCGACGTAGTAGGGGGCATATCAGGCAGGCACTAAACCGGCTGCGGTGAGATCCAGCGACTAAGAAACGCTGGGGTTCGAGCGACTGGGTCCGTTTTTCACACAGCTCCAAGTCGCAAACCTGCGACACTGGTTTTTGACCAATGGCGGCCTTCTTCGGGCATTGCGAAACACATTTCATTCACAGATTGGCTGTCGGACTGGGTTTACGCGCACGTGCGACCGCACGCCGTACATGATGTGAACATAGCGCACGTGGCCGGGTGTTGACTGTTTCTGGTCACGGTTCTCAGGTGAAGGCTCGACAAGTTAAGCTACAATCTCAAGATGCAAACCGCCCTTTTTGCGCACCAACTGCCTTGGCACATGTCATAAATTTCGTTGAAAGGTCAATGAAAAAGCGATGTCCCCTGTCCCGCCAAGGAATTTTCCGGTTAACCCGCGATCAGGGCTGCTATGTCGGAGGCTGTACCGTAAGCATCCGTGGCGTCTGCAGAAACGAGGCTGGGTGGGAGTGGTTTGCCTGCCACTGTATCGGACAGTCTCTGACAGCGACATGTAGACGTGAGCTAAGCGGAGCTGACATTCATGCCACTGCAGGCAACGGGTACCGTAATCATGGCCTAAGAACAGAGAAAGAGCAGTCTTAGACGGCTCAGGCCGCCACGCCAGCGCTCCGCTGTCCCTTCGAACTGGCCTACTGATGTGGTTGCAAGGCCGCTAACCAACCGCCCGCCACCGCAAGTCACGTGTGCTGTCGCTAGGCAAGCCGGCATTAGCGGTCTCCCTCATGCAAGGTCACGTGACTGCGGCTGTGGCCAATGAGGCGCCAGCCAACGCCACGCGAACCTGCAACTTTGCAATTTCAGCCGGGTGCGCAGTAGACGCCCATACTACTGTCTGTTGTTGCAGAGCGCGTTGAATGTGCGCTGACCGCTAGCCGTGTTCGAGAGGGGCGGTCGGCGGCCCAAATCACGCTGCTGACAAATGCGTCATCGATGTCGTTTTCAGTGTGACATTGCGCGGAACAAGTGCACCTAGTCGGCAAATTAGCATCGCTGCGCTTCTCAAGTTGAGTTTGGCATGGTAGCATATTTCATTCCGCCTAGAGACACAAGTCCCGAAAAAATTCGATTCAGCGCACCTTTGAAATAAGCAGGCTGAAAGAGTTCCCATCCCGCTGACCCAATCGCACGTAACACACTACGCAGCAGCGTAACCAGCGGGGCCTCCTTCCTTTTCGCTTTGGCGACGCAACCGGCCCTGGCCCTCGCTATTGTAACCTAGCGACCGGCGAAACTCTGAGGGATGAACGCCGGCTGTCCCTGGCGTGCCTGCACCCCGTCTGACCGCAGCTCATGTCGACTGCTGTTGATCACGAGCCCTGTCTAGTTGTGTGAACTGCCGCGTAAAAATATGCAACAACGCCGCCGGGCATTTGGCGCGGCGCCTGTCAACGAGCGCCCCAGTTGGGGGAAGGTGGGATGGGGAGGGGTTGTGAGCGCAGGGGCTTTGCGGATTACGCTGGTGCCGGCACGGCTCGGTTCATCCGTTCGTGCCCGGCGACCCGGTCTAACCCAGTTTTTGCACGCGCGAAATCGCGAAATACGTGCGCAAATTCAGCCTCGCTCAGTAGACAAACATAACCCCGCCGCGCGGCCTTGCAACCTGTCACGCCGGTGCACGCTGCACGTTCACGGCGAGCGGCGGTTGGGCATCTGCTGCGACATTTCGCGCATGCGCACAAGCGGGTAGCCCATCGCCGCCAGGGCCGACAGCGGGGACGGGGAGATTGGGCGGCGAAGAAGCACTGCGGTTGACCGGCACTCAGTCTTCTAAGACTTCCAGGGGCGGTAGACAAATGCAAGCCATCCAAGACGCCGCCTAATATATATATATATATATATATATATATATATATATATATAAGCGACGCATAAACACCGGGAGTCGCCAGTGTTGACGAGTGTCTCCAGTCATATCGCCACACCCGTGCCATTTACTCACTGGCAGCGACCAGACCACGAACACGACTACGACGGAGGTTATGCAAGTACCGACATACTCATTCTTTTATCAGGCAGCGAATCTGTGTGGAGTGACCCAGACGTCTCATAAAAGTCCTTATTCGGGTGTGCGCAGATGAGCCTGTTATAAGCGACAGTCACCTGGGAGCGTCCAAAAATCAGTGAGTGTGTCGGGAATGGATGCCTTACACATCAGTTTGCCCCTCGGAGTAGTCAAGCCAACCCGACGCACAGGCGTATTTTGCTTAATCTTGGGTTTTTTAAATAACGGTGCTTGCATGCTCTAGCGACGTGGTGGTAGAGCTCTCGTCTCTCTGATTCCCGGTGGGATACGCTTTCAACTGACTTGGAATACAGCAGCGTGTCGGGAAGTGCCCATCATCCAGCACTGCACTCGCTCGGTTTCCCAAACAGGCAGATGTTGGCAAAGCTTATACCGCAGTCACGGTCAGCGCGGTGTTCGTGGTGGCGAACGGCCATGTCCTGTTGATACATCATGCGGATGGATGTACGTCAACTGTGCCATGGTGTCAAGGCGAGGATTATAAAAGCGTCCCTATTTAGGCCAAGGTTTAACGTGCACGACCACAGGCGGGCCAATTCGGCACTGTAGGGGACCTCAGAGGGGGTGTCTGGCGAGCACAGCCTTCTCACCTGCAGGCGACGTCCGTTCGTACGTGGTCCACTTGTCATTAAGGTTGGCTTCCTCGCCCTCTTTGGTGTGGATTTGGCACCTCTTGTAGGTGCTGTGATGGCTGAAACCCTCGCAGTCTGGGGTGTTGTTGCAGAGTTTGGCGCACTGGAATCGAGGGGTAGTGTTCAAAAACGAGAACAATATCGGCGATAAGTTTACAAAAGTTTCTTACGTTAAAAGCCATCTAAGAGAGGTTTCTGTGCTTTTCACCTTAGTTGGAAAGCGTAGTTCGTACTAACGCTCCGATGCATCATACTACAAATATTTATTCACAAATACTATGACATTCACACGTCTAGTTTTGCTGTCAATAGAGTGAAGCGTTTGTTTCGATGCCTCACGTTTTAGACCTATCATGACCAATGTGTTTTCATATGGTCGTTTCCTAGCAACTCACCCCAGCCAAACTCATCGAGATCCAGTAGAGACGCGATGCTTTCAACTTCTTCTCAGTTTTTGAGTATGCTGGCAGTGTCTTATCTGAAAGAAGAAACAATTGTTAATTTGTTTTTAATGCCCCCGAACGTACCATCCACGAAACCCCAAACACCAGCTTTTTTCTCAAAGCTAAATGGGTTAAACACTCAAGACGCCATGTCCACCATCGCACAACGAGGTAGGATGATATGTTACATGTGCCGGTGATCAGATCCGAATCGGGAAGGCGGCGTTTTGTTTACTCCGCCGTGACCGCCTAGAACACACTACCGCAGAATATTCGCGAGCTGATCCTTCCACAATTCAAACGCGAGTTGCGTGGCTATATCCTGCAGCGGCGGATCAATAACAAATATCGACGCCTACTTCAAATGACTTAAGCGAATGTCAGAGAGTGCGTTCTGCGTATGTGTGCCTGCGTGTGTACGTGTTTGCGCGAGCCTCCCTGACCTACAGTGTTTTATTTCCTTGACACGGGCTCTGTAATAGCCACATTCTGAGTGGAGTGAACTTATGGCGTGTACTAAATAAATAAATAAGTGTGAGTGAGTCGTCTTGGCTTTTCGCCAGCGCCACGGTCCAGCGGCGACGCCCCGAACAACGCATTGCGGTGCAGCACGCTGCGTTCAGTCTAGGCGGATGGCCGGTCCAGCCATCTATCGGGGAAGCGTGTAACAAACTACCGATCAATCGCTGCTGGCATCGTTATGTCACCTGTATACCGTTAGTGACGTACTCATTCCAGACCCAACGCGATGTTACTGACGGCGGATAATGGTTTAAGAGAGACGATAAAGTTTATGGACGATGTGATGATCGTGGGTGATTTCATGGGCACAGGCCCATGGCACTGAAACCGTTAGATTCTGTCAACGGCAGAAATTTTAAAAAGCAGGGTACTTATTCACATATTTGCACATGGAAAGCTAGATAGTATATTAAGAGACTGTGGATACTTTGAGCTTCACGTTGTCTGGTATATAGCGCAAATACATGCAATCTTTTTGAACCTGAAATCCCAGAATCTCCGAACTTATACATGCAGAGATCATTCCGAATTTTATCTGATTTTGGCGTTATATATGAATGCTAGCGTTATACAGGCCATTTCTACTAAATGCAATCTACTTTACAGCGTAAAATCTACCGCACATTGTCTCAACTATGTAGCATTGTTATCTTGCTACCTAATCGAACGCTAGCAAATTATGTTTTACATTTGTAATGATGTAGCGCATTTATATATCCATTTTTTAGTTAGCGACTAATGGCGCTCAAATCATGTTGGCGTGAGTATCAAGCAGGATTGAAATAACGTGCTCAAACTCTTTTCTGGTTATTTACAAAAAGGTATTCAACTGAGCACTGATAATTTTGCTAGTGGGTTATTTTTTGCACACCTTCCTCATGTCAGGCAACACGACTTTTCAAACTACAGCTACGCGCGTTTGATGATGATTACCACAAAGTTGTTACCCGTCAAAGTTTCTGGTCTCTATGGCTAGCGACAGCGCAAATGACAAAAAGCAACGACTAGGGCTTGTTGACTAGCCAACATGAGAGACTTTTACAAAAAGACATGCCAGTCATAATCCCGTTCTTTCTAATTTGCCTGCTTGTTTTCGGACGTTTTTTGGCCTGGGCTTTTGCTTTCTTGAATTTCATGGCGTGAATCTCCTTATGCGGCAAAATAACCAGGCACTTTCGGCGCACCCTGCCGTGATAACGCCGAGCACGCTCGATCGCTTACCACCTTCTGCTCATCCCAGCCGGAGCCTGCACGTCGTCACACACCATCGCAGAAGTCTTTCGGTGAGACGCATCTGAAATCAGACAGGCGTAATATCGTGTAGAGTGAGCGGCGTGGTGCGCACGGCACACCTGCTGGGAAGAAGCGAGTGAAATCGCGTCATTCAGCACCGCCATGTGAGCTGGTTGCATTATAAACATTAGCACTGTCAAGATTGATAGATTATCAAGCAAGTGGACTACACTATCACAACCGTATGCACTTCCGGCGCCGCTATGGGAAAACCAAATAAGCCACGGAGAAAAAGGAAGTAAAAGAACAGACGCAAACGATTTGTGGCAGTTCAAAATAAAGTACCACCATTCGTGAATGTGGAAAGTAGAGTAAAAGGAGATAAAGATGACAAGAGCGAGAGAGAGAAGAGGAGAGAGAGAGAGAGAGAGAGAGAGAGAGAGAGAGAGAGAGAGAGAGAGAGAGAGAGAGAGAGAGAAGAGAGAGAGAGAGAGGAGAGAGAGAGAGAGAGAGAGAGAGAGAGAGAGAGAGAGAGAGAGAGAGAGAGAGAGAGAGAGAGAGAGAGAGAGGAGAGATAGAGAGAGAGAGAGAGAGAGAGAGAGAGCCAAGCCGTCTCACCTGTCGTCTTGGTCTCTCCGCACAGGTAGGACAGCACGTCCTCACACTTGCTACCTCCTCATCGTTTCCGTACGTCACAAAGCGGGGGCAGCTTAGACGCCTCTGCTGTGACTAAGGGCTGAAACACAAGACCGATTGTTATGATTCTACAAAGGCCGTTAGTTACTGAGCCCCAGCAGGCGGTGTTATTGATTGCGCTTTTTTAAAGACTCGTGGCAAGTCTGGCAGAGTGTTACGAAAGTCCAAACAGTTGCCTAGGCACCTTAGGTTATGCCTGTTGTAATTGTGAGGACAGAGCGCCATGACTTAATGAGTGTGATTACTGTGTCATCATTGCCAGCCGGCAGTTTTCTCCTGGAAAATATGTTTGTCCGGGAAGGGCAAGAGACTGTCAACAAGCGTGGGACTGTAAGGTTCAGCGTACTTCACACTGCAATGTGCGAAAAGATCCACTGACTACCGGCAACTCTGAGGATGACAGGTTTCATACCACAGATGCCAAGTAAATATAAAAGGCATCAAGCTATATGGGCCTGTGCTCCGCATATATTTTTTTCAAAGCGATAACTTTTAAGATATCGCTTTGTAAGTCGACTAAATGAGCTATGGTCAGTGATTTAAAATGTCAACTGGCAAGATAACATTCGTCTTCTTCCTAGCTCTGCCCATTAAGGGCGTCGAGAAAATGAACTGCTTCCCTGTTCCTCCACACCCACTGCTCGGCGTGGATTATTACCACCGGTTGGAGAGAGGCGTTGCTAGCGAGACGCTTACGCAACAGAAGGTGGAAAGGCTTCCGCTCACGTCTGGCCATCTGTTGATGACGTTACCGTCCAAACGTGCGCTTTAGGACTTGGTATTGTACTGGGCAATGAGAGGGGATGGCCAAGTGATGAGCTCGACATGGCTCGGTTCGAAACACCGCGGGATGAGCGCGAGGCGAGGGGTGGAAGCTGTCGTCCGTGACACGTCTGAGAAATAGCCAACATGTGAGGTCTCAACGCCTCGGTTCGCCTGACGTACAATGGCGTCGTCTGTAGATCCAGACCCAACAGATGCACGCCTGTAGAAAGCGAGCACATTACGAGACAGTCTAACTAAGCCTTATTTTTGAAGGGCCTTTTGGCACCTTGTAAGCTTCCCTCAGCTTTGAGCGATTTCAACTGCACGTTGTTTCTCTTGCAGTTGCGGTGGGGTCAATCAGGTGTCTCGCGCGTCATAGTCAGTGGTGTAGACCGAAATTGTCCTCCTCGGGGTGGGGGGGAGGGAATGCCAATTTTCTCCAAGTCCTACAAATTTGGACCAAGTCTCTGCGAAATCGTCCAGCACCTGGTTTAATAAGCCTCTTGACTAAGGGGGAGAAAAGGAGCACATGCCCTTGGCCCCTTTCTTGCTCGACCATGACTTAACATTTTGTGCATTGCTAAGGACCGAGACAGCCTTGCAACCACGAGAAAGTTGCAGCTGAAATGGCAAAGGGATTTAAGTAGAGTCTGAGTCTGGATCTTGCGGTTCAAAATGCCACCTCAAATTCCATCTGCTTACGTCATTCTAAAGCTGAACTTTGTACATAGGCGGACACTTCAGTTTCTAGAAATGGTCTTGCACGCGAATATTAATGCACATTTTTTGTCGTCCCAGTCTTTGTATGCTACTTAGGAGATATATTCCCAGCACCACTATACGATGTCGCAAAAGCAGCAGTAGGAAGCTGTCATCCAATGCACAACCTCATCATTTGTTTTGTGGCCTGTTCCGCCAAGCATACAAGTAGCATACACTCGCATACCTCCTCTCACGTTGAATTGACTTGGCTCTTCATTCAAGAGCAGTATTTACATCTACTAGGACACGTACTTCTTCCGCCATGTATAACTTCCGTATAGGAACTTGTCAAGCGAACTGAAATTCAGCTGGTGCACAATATCTACAGTGTGTTTAATCTTGCGTCGCTTTGGGTGCTGGCCGTCTGGATGTTTCCGATAATTATGTTAGCCAGTGTCGTATTTTTACAGGCACGGGGATCCACGGAGTCCTCCAGCTCGCTTTTGCATAGCCCAGCACGCATCCCTTGCGTAGCACACCACTATCCCGGTTCACTTTTTTTACAAATCAGCCCATTTTCAGCGAAGCAAGGGGCAACCGCAAGGAGCCTTGTCACGCACGCGTAAATGGCACACGGTGAGCTTGGCAGGTTAAGATAGCCGACAATATTATCACCAGGCCCGATCAGCTAGACCGGTGACGTTGTGAAAGCATGCCGCAGACGGTACAGGAGGATTAACAGGGGATGTACCACAGCTTTTTTCGTCGCACCTCAAAAGACAAGCTCGTCGAAAAATATAAGCCTTGCGCTACCGCAACTGCATGCGTGGTATGGCTAGGACGCAATGTAGCTATTCGCGCTTTTGCACTGGGTAAAATGGCGACGACGCGTTATGTGAGCAACAACAGTGGGTTTCTTTCACGAATCACCGTCTTTTGCATTTAAGCCACGATACCGTGCAACGCTGTTGTTATTTAAGGCTTAAGGGCGCAGTCGACAGACTGCAAGTCATTTTGTGTCTAATAACGCCAACGTCTTGTCGCAGTCC